AGGGTTTTTGACAGGGAATGCAGTATGCTTTAAAAGAAGAAAGACAAGATTTCAGTGTCAAACGAACAAAAAGTGCACATTTCCCGTTACTTAACCGAGCGGACGGCAAAAGAATCCTTTTTCTTTAAAGATGCGGGGCATACTCACCAGACAAAAACACTAATTAGCATTAAAAGCTAATGAGAAGCTTGGGTTAATTTGGCCCAGTACTTGTACCCCGGAAAAACAGGGAAATGTCGATAAGTTAAACAGTCGAAAAGTTGTGGTCAGATCTGCCGTCATACTTTCCTCCATTAAACAGCTTTCGAATTCGAGTATAAATTCGACAAGTCAGACGAACAAAGAAACTGGTTATAGAAATCGCACCTCCTTCTTCCCAACTGTCTCCTGAAACCCACATTTTTGCTTTTATCATTGGATGCAGTTTTTCCCAAATTGACTCATTAGTAATGAAATCAGTCAGCGCTGCGACGTCAGAATTATTGTAGGCCGTGTGTTGCTCATATCCAATACGGATTTGGGAACTAGTCAATCTATCCACTGCCAGCTGAACAACTCGCTCAGTCGGGTCTCGGCCCTAAATAACGGTTACTTCGAAATGTTTCGACAACTACGATGGTCAAGTTCCTTGCGGCAATATTACTGAGACGTATGCCGCTGTAGTTGTCCAATTTATCCTATAAAACCTCGTAAAAGTGAACGCATGACCGGCCCAGCGCCAGTCGTCAGAAACGATCCAATTCATGTAAGCCTGTTCAGTTACATCATGGAGACGGTGCTAGTGGGCATAAAATACTTATGAACTTGAGCAGAGCTCCCGTTCTTATTTGGTTCCTTGTTATATCACAACCTCAGTCCACATATTAATTTCGGTGTTTTATCACATAAGATGTAAAACACCTTGTTATGGTAGTAAGATTTAGGAGATGCCCAGGGGTCAATGATGACATTCCGTTTATAAAACATGTCGGCCTAACCGGTACTTTGTAGGCTTCTTAGGGGGAAGGTCGCAAAAACCAATATTCACACAGATTTATACTTGCACAACACTGGGGTGGGATGCCTGCGCGGCTCATCTGCTCCCACGTCAAGTGTCTACGAAAAGCGCTAGGTTTTTGCCGAAATGCCAACAAATCAGGCGCCTTGGTCTTTGGTAGGACGCAATCGTTGATATATGATAGCGCCGCGGCTCTCCTGGGCAGTACAGCTGACGGGTCCAAGTCGGCCATGCTTAAAATCTCGGAAGCCTGGCGAATCTATCGACTTACTTCGCCCAGGTTCGGAATATTGTCCACTTTGCAGCGATGAAAGATTCTCACATTCAGGCATATCATTTAAGTTCCCACCTTTCATCTAGACAGAACAGTGTGCATACGCATACGGCGTCGGGAAATATGGATGTCTAACGGATTCGACCGACGTGCATGTGGGTGCGTGACATTATTCTCGAGGGTTGGAATCTTACCATGACCAAGTGTGATGCACAGACTACCACTACACTTCAATAGCAAAAGAATTCCCTTAAGAATCAGTGGGATTCAATTCGAGGTATCGGGCCCGCTGTCTTCAATCCTGGAGAATGTAAAAGAACCGGGCAACCGAAATTCGGACTAATCAGCTATTATCAGCCCTCCAAATTTCATCTGTGAAATCTCAAGGCTCATTTGTAATTCGATGGTCGAAAATATTCCATGGACCATTTTCGTTTCAAAACTCAGATGTGAATTTAGCGGTCTGGAAGGGGGTTAACAAAAAATCTATCAACAGGACTTTATTGGACTTGGCATACAACTAATCCTAATTTACATTATCTACCGACCAAATTTACTAATTTTAATATCGTACACTTCCACGCCACAGTGATTGCTTATTCCTAGTTACTAAGTGTGAGATTAAACTGGTCATTGGCCATTGCATGAAAGCTCCTACGAATAAACGCAGACGGCTCAAAAATGTCCTTCCGATATTGCTTTCCGTTATGGAAAGTCGAGCAGTTATAAAGCGCATTCAAAAACTGTTCACGTGGTATGAGGGCATGGAAGAGCACATGGGATTTAATGCGCCCGCCCGTACATGAATTATGGTTTAGCCGCCACAAACTATCCAAACTAGAATCAGCAGTCAAGAAAGGCGTAAATTTGCCCGTGAATACCGCGTCTGTCATGGGGTGGAAAGCCATGAGAGCAGAGCAATTAAGCAGCAACTGACGCACTGCCCTCGATGCACAAAACATACTTTCGTGCAAATTACGCGCCCTCACCGAGTGTTTAAAAGTGAAGCCATTTCGATGTAAACCACGAAAGCAGGAGATTTAGCTCCAAACGCAGGCGCAAACAGTCGACGTAGACAGAAATTACAAAAGCCTGCGCTTCATCACTTGGGTCGGCACCGACAATGTGCAGTGTGTCAGAGCTTCGTGAACGACTATGCGTCTTAGCATGCTTGATTATTTAGAGCTGTTTGGATGGTCATCTTCAAAAAATCTAGGTAATCCTGAGTCCAAAATCTTATTGGAAATGAGTCTCCTGCAGGGAAGTTATCGTTCCATGTATCATTGCACACATTTCAATCGCCAGTTTACATATCTGTGAAAGATTATTAAATCCTGTCAATATCCGCATGCCATATAGAAGAATTTCAGGCTAGCCCAAGTAACAGTCCTAAGTATGCGAACTCAACAATATCTGCAGAGTAAAATGCCTAGGCCATGACAACCCAACTCCGGTAAGTTGCTTGCAAAGAAAACAGCCGCCGCGACCTGAACTGCTGTACCATTGGGAACGCGCCGAACATATTGATCAGGTCCACGGCAATTCAAACGGCCTTTTGTATGAAATGTCTAACACTAATTAACAAAAATTCGTACCTTCTATAAAGAACGATCAAAAACGAACACTTTTGAAGAAACCATCTAATAGATGTACGACATCTGGCATCGCGGCGGATATTGTTACTGGTTTGAATACGTCTAATTTCCGCTGAATTTTTTGTTCCAGGCTTATCACTTATGCCAGTTTTGTATTCGGCGGCATGCGTCCACATTCCTTGCTGAAATATTGAACGAACATCACAAACAAACAAACAACTCAGGACAAATCGAAATGAGTAAACTTTACCGCAAATAAAACCGATGAAATCACTCCGAACCGGCCTTTCAGAACAATCACGACTGCGAGTCACTTCGGCCACGGTTTACTCCATTTGAAACTCCGCTTTAATTTCCCCCTGGACCTTTTGTGAGACGCACCTGGGTATAAGGGGCGTCCGTCTCTACCCAAACCTATTCAACTTTTAACAAAACAGCTTCGAAACAATCTCCTCCGAAGAGGCATCGAATGAACCTTCAAAGTGAAAACGACATCTCATGTACTCCCAACTGATATTTCAGATTCATATTCATATTGACCCAACTGTGAAGAACTTGACGCCCTGGTGGGATTCGAAGCCGTGACAGCAAGGGGAAGCTTTAGTACAGCCAACGCCGTAGCCACCAGAACTACGAGTCCCACCGCAAGACGTAAGTCAAGTTACACGCCCAACCTACCGCAACGCTTGGAATCTACCAAATTTGATACAGTAAACTGACTGCCCGAGCAGTATTTCCTACACAATCCATCTAGAATCCACCAGACGACTACCAGGTTCATGTAATTAATAGATGTTTAGCAGATTTTCAAATAATTCATAATGACCAAACTGTGAAAAACGCGACGCCTCGGTGGGACTTGGGTTACAAAATTTAATGTCACACCACCTACTATAACCGCTTTTCGTCGCATTGCTACGCTGTTCACAACGAAAGACACGTGCAGTGTCGTCCTGCAAAGCGTCGCCTGTCGAATTAATAATATTATGCCTACTTGTTAATTTAAGTACGAGTGGTTTAACCCTCTGCGGGGGTTACTCAACGCAGCTGAGGAGACCGCCACGATACCGCGCTACGTGCTCATAATGCACATTTGATGGGTGCCACAGTTCACCCATTACATTGTAAATGGTAAAATTCTAATAACAGTGGTTATTCATTAAACGAACTTTGGCAAAAGTAGCAACGAAGATCATACAATCCTAAGTCGACAGCGGTCGGCGGTCGAAATCCATCAATTCAGAATGTGGAACTTGGCTTCGACAGAGAACAGAACAATACTGCACGTTCCCGGTGTCACCGACGACTGCGTAAGAAGAGGTAGTGCGCTTTGTGACTAACCCGTGTGAAAAAGCTAGACTCCCGTTTGCGCTCTGTTAACTGAAGCCCTCATTTCGCCATCGGTAGCTTAGCTAGGAGATGCTTTGAACGCAACATAATCCCAGTGCTTTCATTTGGCAACGAGGCTTATATGTGTTATCGAGCAATCAAAGTGTTGTTCAGGTTAAGAATAATCAACGAAATGAAAAACAATAATTTGCCCGGAAGCCCTGTATTCTGGAAGACCTTAATGGCTTTCAGGTGAATAAATCCGTCCCCTCATCAACGCATGCACAAGATAGTCCAGATCGAGTCCATTTTCCCACGAAAAGAGGCCAATTTGTGAAGTCCAACCAACCGCAGCAAGGTAAAAAGGGCAGGAAAAGTTTTTGTGAACCCAAAGAGACCAAACTAAATAATGCTGGTCAGGACAAATGTGTGCGCCTCGCGATTCGTTCAAGCGTCACTATTAACGTCTCCGTTTTAATCTGTCTGGTGTAAATCGCGCTTTGTACGACCAGAAATTTGGCGATAATACTACCACCGCAACGTGACATGAAGGATAATTACATGAGTTAATAATGACCACAATGATACAATACCACAATAAAATTCCTGTCCCTGTTTTTATGCAACGTAGGGCTGGGCCGTAAAATACAACCAGAAAAACGAAGGAGAAAACAAAAAAATAATTTTGTGTGCAATAACAAAAAGTGTTCACAGAAAAAGAGCTGAGAGAATAATGAGCAGAGCAAGTTTAATTATGATTGTGAGGTACCTAAAGAAGTCGAAGAAAAGAGTCAACAGAGGCGATTCAGTGAATTGCAGAGACAGGTTTTGTCGTCTTTTTAAGGGTTTCCAAAATCACATCTTCGTCTAAAGTGGATTCAACGGTGACCAGTTGGTTTTTGACATCAGCGTCGACGGACAGGATGCCCTCTAAAGTTTGGGAGGCGTGCGATAAAAAAACGGGCAAAACTTACCCCCAAGTTTAGAAAGAACTCTCTTAGCGGCGTTTGCACACCCTTCACATGTCATCTCCATTTTGAAAACGTATTTCTAACGAGAAATTGCAATTGTTTTACATGAAGGGAATGACATGAAAGAAAGACTATTCGCGAATTTAATAACGGAATGTAGTGTTAACAAGGATTTGTGATAGTCGGCATGGCTTTAAAATGGGAAGAAAAACCGAGTTTAAGTCGGTCTTACATGAAACTCCTACGGAAAAGACAGCCCAGTTTGATGGACTGAAAACGCGAAGCATTCTGTCAAATTTATTCTTAATAAGCGAAAATGGCCTGCGATTATTGCTGTGAGGAAAGATTTTTTGACAACAAAGACCAGCAAAACGAGTGCAACTGTACGTGTTAAATCAAATTCATTCTACCCTTCGCTGTAACACTTTGACAAAGCAGACACCAAAATTCTAGACAACAAAATATTACAAAGACGACCATTCAGTCGATTGTACTTTCAAGTTATGGTGAAATTTCAAATAAGGTCACTCTTTTGGCTGCGCAATATGCCCCAAACATTTTAATAACCTTTAAACTCCCTAGGATCATCCAAGAAAAACTGGTTTGCGAACGGATATTTTCGGCAAACCAGGATCACCAGTGTCGTTTATCAAGGCTGCCTAGTTGTTATGCTATATGTTACTCTCAAAGAACATGGTTTATGAAATGACATCAATATAGCTTGACTTATGTCAAGCAATCCAGCTTTATAAGTGTATACGGCATGGTATTCGTCCACCGACGTATAAAATGATAAAACCGAACCCCCATATGCCACCTTTATGCGTAAAAATTGCCAAAAGTTAAAGGGGAAGATTCCGTGCAACTCAGACATTACAAGTCTAACAGAAACGAAGTGGCCGAGAAGCTGAAAAGGAATATTTTATCTTAATTAGGTAAATGTTGTCTGAGCAGCGTCTGATCAGTAATGCCTCGTTGGCCGAAAGTCCTAAAGTAGAACGTCGACGGCATCCAGAGGCCAGTTAATTCTATCCAAAAGGCACTGCATACGAACTGGCGCCAGCTAGCGAGAAAGCGCGATTTCATCGTCAAGTATTTCGGGACACATCTGCTAAGTCACATGTAAGGGACAACTGGACGCTTCCCATCTACCTTCCTCCTGCACCTGACAACGAAGATAGTAGACCACCTACCCATCATGTTTTGGGAAGCGTTGTTTGGCCCTAACTACGGGGAATAGGTTGAAATAGTGCCGCATAAAGGCCGCCTGGTGGTGTACCACGAAAGCCGCCTTACCCGATTCAGGTTTACCATTGCAGAACAAGTACCAAAGTCTGTGTGAATGGCAAGGAGAGCGACTTCTTTCATATCACCTCTGGCGTCCATCAGTGTTGCGCTCTCGGTCGACTCTATTTAATGAGGCGACAAATTAGGTTATCCAAAGACGTATGGTGGCAGTCAAAGTAGAATCGTAATACATTGCCACGCGTCGATCGTTTCGACTTCTGCAAGTGAGGGCTTCTGACCTACCACGATGGGCGATTTAAAGAGCACCTCTGACCTGGCAGTTTTTGGAGCGACGTGCTAGATGGCTAGACGTTGCTCTGGAGTCCACTGTCAACAGACTCCGATGAAGAATAAACTCTCACAGTAAATATAAGTAAATTCTCACTTAACCGTGGACCGGCAACAAGTAAGTACGAATCCAATCGAGGGCGAACGCTCAATGCTGAAAACCAAATGTTTTGAACGTCCTTCCATCCCGGTAATAAAGGTCCAAAAAACGTAATTTTACGGAAAAAGGGATATTTACCACCTGTTTCAAGTCCAAGCCTTAGAGACTAAAAATCTGCAGGAAGAACTTCTGATTTTTACTCTAGAAAGACACACGCAAATTCTCTGACGATCGCCCCCTCAGAACAGAGGAACTAAACGCTGTGTAGGAACCAGCCAACGAGCGACTGGCGTATTGACGCCTGAAAAGACATTGTAATGGCACTTATGTCATGTCCGTTAGTGTTTTCGTCGGTAAACACCAACGGCTCACCTCACACCCACGCCTTGAAGGCTTAAGGAGCACCAATCCGGTCTCGCATCGTTGGAGTCGAAAATACGGCGCCATAAAATTGCCAACTCCTCGCGGAGATAGCGAATCGGGACAGAGAAGAGAAATAGGAACTGATGGGTCAAAATGTCAAGTACATAGCAGTTGGCCTTAACCATTAAAGGCACCTAAGAATTCTACGGCCAAAATCACTGTGCCAGACAAGTCGCGCAGTTCATCAAGTACTCAGCACTGACTTTCCTTGGTTCCACTGGTGATTTCGTCAAGGACAACTTAACGAAGGTCAGTCGCTGTCGCGAAGATTTTGGGCGTCCAGGGCAGCGGGGGTCTCGTTTATCTGCAGTCTGCAGCGTTATCTACCTACACTTCGGGCGGAGGAATGACCAAGTTAAAATGATGAGAGGATAACACCTCTGTTGAAGTCTAAATTATAGCTCAACTACGTAGCTAACCGAGTAGAAATATGTCAGACCACAATCGGAAACTGAAGTTGGTTGATCCTCGCGTCCGGTTCTTATTCAAGGATATGGTGGAAAAGGAATAGTGTGACATCTGTCACACTATAGGTCACTTCGCGATCGTCACGCGGTATTTGCCGTGTCACTTTCAGATGGTTCCAACGTGTGCAAGACGCGGAAACGTGGCTCAACTAAACCGGGTTCCGGATGGGACATACATGTTGCAGCAAATCACTAACATTCGCTATAGCGACAACTTCCGCTTGCCGATTAAGAGGATGTCTTCATTGGTTTCTGAGCTACTTTGCGCCATAACTATATCAATATACTACCCGCAACACACATGACGGAACTTTGCAATCACTGGAATATAAATACACTTACCTTGGACATAATAACCCTACAGCAACGTGGATACTAACCCAATGAGTCTTGAGAACTATTTTATCTTTTCCGCCTGCATTTCAGTCTAGTAAATATCCCATAGCAAAATATCCTGTCAATTTCGTCAGGAATTTTCCTACATCCAACTGATTGTCTTTTCTCTTCACTCCTTGTTTGCTTGTAGTAGGCGGGCCACTCACTTGTCCTGTCTTCTCTACTGCAATGACCTTTGAGGCTGCTACTCCTTCGAGGGCTGACTTGAGCTCAGTACCGTATATCAACTCTGAATTGCATGGATCTTCAACGTCACTCATTCTTCAATCAGAAACTCAAGCTAGCGCGAAACTCAGTAGAAGGAGAACGGTCTGTACACAAGAGATTTATATAGTGAAATATGGTCAAAGGGGACAGGGGGCGTATAGTCTCAATGTAGATGGGGGATAACGGCGGTCAAAAGGAATTGTTAGGCGCTTCACTGCTGTGGTTCTGGGGCAGGTACTACATGCATTGGAGTCGTCTCCTCAACTCCGTTTGGACACTCCTCCTTGTTTGTAAAGTGAAGAAGAAAAAAGCTCGTCCGAAGCAAAGCACCATAGATCGCCGTTTTGTTTTCTTTTTTTGACTTCCTGCCAAATTCACCCCAGTCTGACACTACACGCTCCCCTCCTCAGTTGGAGCCCTGTCCGCAGGGCTCGCCGATAGCGTGGTCTCTATTATTTCTTCGCTAGTCGGAAAGGGTACTAAACTTGGAGGAACGAGCGACAAGGTGTCCTCTGTAGCCGTAGGTTGGTGTCCCCGGTATGGCTTAAGCTTATCGAAATGCGCAGTGAACGTTGGGCCATCAGGGTATGACGCGTCTCGAAGTACGTAAGTGGTGGGATGTAGAACGTCTACGACTACATATGGTCCTTCCCAAGGATGAAAGAACTTTGCTGAAGTGCCAAGGGGGGGTACTAGGCGGAAGCGCCACACTAGGTCGTCTAATTGGTAGGGAGTACCATGTATCCGGCGATCGAAGTAGTTTTTTTGTCTTTCAGCGGCTGCTCCGCGATGATCTCTTGCAAGGTTGTGGGTTGTGCGTAGTAATTCTTGTAGTTGCCACATATAGTCGTCTGGATTACATTCGTTGGGTGCGGCTACCGGCACGCGGGAGTCTATCGGTGGGCGGAAATGGCGTCCGGTAAGCATAAAGAAAGGGGAGTATCCCGTCGAGGTATGCTTCGCTGTGCGATATGCCATCATCACGCATGGTAACTGTTTGTCCCAATCGTGGGGGCGGATCTCCTCAGCAAAGGCCTTCAGTAATTGTGTCAGTGTGCTGTTAGTTCTTTCAACTTGGCCATTGCCTTCCGGGTGAGCAGAAGTAGTTCGTGTCTTATAAATGTCGAGTAAGTCGCACACATCTTGTAATAGTTTACTATCGAAATTCGCTCCGCAGTCTGAGTGGACGGACAGGGGCGCTCCGAATCGGCAGACCCAGTTGTTAAATATTGCAGCAGTTACCGACGCAGCGTCTTGCCGTAGAAGGGGTACTTCCTCTGCCCACTTGGTAAAATAATCAACCATTACTAATATATATATATATATATATATAAATGGAAGGATTTTTTTCTGTGTTATATCTAATCTCCGAAAGTACTGCACCGATTTCACTGAAATTTGAACACAACCCGACCCGCGCATAGGGCCGGGTTTTTGTCTGTTCAATTGTGTAATTATGCCGATGGTATGCATGTGATGGGTAAAAAGCCAAATTTTTTCCGGCATAACAACACCGCCTGCTGCGGCCACTTGACCTACATCCGCGCGGACACATGGGCGCCCAGACAGCGGCCACTTGACCGACATTTGCTCAAGCGCACGTCCTCCGCCCGTCAGCCGCGCTCACCCCACCACCCACCCTGCAGGCACTTGAGCAGGCCCTCCACCCTCTCTGGGCTGATGTCATATGGGCCGCCAGAGCAAACCACCCACCCTGCAGCAAAGAAACACGCAACACTTGGACGCCACTTAAAATTGTCCCACAGTCCATATAATAGGGCCGTCACCGCCGCCTCGGGGATTCTCGGGGGTGAGGACTGGATGCAATTTATACCAGACCCTCCCCTCCCCGGCTCAACACACATAATGGGGCTGTCGCCCAGTGTCCGCTCAGTATTGTGCAGCTCGGCTTGCGGAAGCCCGGTTGCGGTCACGGTTACCGCGTTCTGCAGCTTCAGGCATGCTTCGTTCAGCAACAGGATGAAGGCAGCCAGCTGGGAGTGGCCGAATGGCGCCAGCGCGGAACAGCAGACCAGCGTCAAACACGACTCCGTGCTCAGCATTCACGCAGTCTGATGCTGTTGTAAACGACGGTACGCCAACAACCGTTGGAAGGTTAACGATTTTAGGGTGAGGGGATACCATATATACCGGCAGTCGGAGACTGATTCCAACGCAACATCCATTTACTTATCGGGATGGTACCGATGGATATCACTTGAACGTTAAGATGATAAATCCAGTCAGTGACGAGGTAACGCACATGAAATGCAGCGCAGTGAACCACTACTCCTACCACTACTCCTATACGACAGAATGTAAGTAATCCCCTTTTGAAACACCGTAAATTGCTTCATCACTGCATTGTGGATATGTATGCAAACATCGAAACTGAACGCCTGCTTTCATTCGCTTAAATCAGACCAAGCTGCGCTCTGAAGGATACATTCCTTTGCATGATGCATTTGTAAACGACGGTAATACAGATAACGTTGTAAGACTAACGCTTTTGTCGTCCACATGTACAGAGAGTCCACGCCATATGGCCGAGTACGCTCGAGGTCTAATTGCTTGCGTTTGTCAGTACGGGGCGTCCAGACCTACTCATTACCTTTCAATGTAATCCAGTTTGGGGGATATTCAGTAGCTCTTACTTCCTGGGTAATCGTCGGTGGATGGGTATGACATCACAGCACGTGTTTTCAGGAAGAAACTGCAATTGCTGATGAATTTCATGGTGAAACACGAGGTGGTTGGGTCTGTGCGCTGCTGGATGTATTAGGTGGAACGGCAAAAGAGGGGACTGCCCCATGCACATGCCCTGATCTGGCTCTATAACAAGATGGCTTCCAACGAAATCGACGACGCAGTATGCGCCGAATTACCTGATATCGACGTCGACAATGATTTGCATGAAGTTGTGGCGAAGAATATGATACATGGACCTTGGATGAACTGAATCCCAATTCTTCAACCTCCCCCCCTCCCCCCGGCATGATAGACGGAAGTCCCTTATACCGAAAATGATCAGCGGAAGACATCGGCAAATTGGCAACCGTACGAATGCGAATCGGTGACTTGGAAGTCGGTAACCGCTGGGCGGGTTCGTATTCGCCTTTGCTTTTAAAAGTAAACCGCAGCTCACATGAACGTGGAAAACTGCCATTCCGGGAAAAGAATTAGGCACATTTGTAGGTACGTGAATAAAGGCAGCCGGCACCACTTACTTCAGAATTCTCCAGCGCGACTGGGGGCAGCAAACAATTGCCCTGCCTTCGACAGCGGCTAGAAGGACAATCCTGGGTCTCGCACAAAATACGTACCGCCAACCGGTGGCCCTTACATTTTTCTTACTTGTGAACGTGCTCCTTCCTCATTCCCTTATTTCCCAATTCATCAGATTGAGCCACAGCAAAACGTGGCGGGGTCCGGCTAGTTACTAATATAAATCGATAACCGGAAGTAGTGAATAGTAATGGGCCGATAATGCCTAGGCCTAGGCGTTGAAATGGGAAACCTGTGAACATCGGCTGGAGTGGTGCTCGGTGCCGTTGTTGAGGAGCCTTGAATGTAGCGCATGTCTTGCAAGTGTTGCAAAAGATGGCCACCTGATCGCGGAGATGAGGCCACCAAAACCGCTGGCGAGCTGCGGCTTCTGTCTTGTTCTGTCCTACGTGTCCTAACTCGGCATGTAGATCTGTGAGCACTGCTTGTACCAATCTTCCTGGGACTACCACTCGGCTGTGTCTCGTTACGTTGTCTCTAATTAGTAAGATATCGTTTTTAATAACGAGTTGTGACCACTGGTTACGGATAATATAGGCTACTTCGGACGAGCCACGTAGTTCGCTATCGGTGGGCCGGTGTTGACCACGCGTCAAATGGTCATAGACTACCGCGGTGTCCGGGTCCGTACTCTGAGCCACTGCCCAGTGGTGTCGTGTCGGCTCGCTGGCGTAAATCGCGTTGACCTCGTCCCTCGGAGTGTTGTCTTTCCTGATTTCCGTATTAGGGGGTCGTCGAGATAGGGCATCCGCGTTAGCGTGTTGTTTACCCGATCGGTAGATACAAGTGAACTTTTACTCCTGTAGTATTTCTTGCCAACGGGTGAGTTGGCCTTCTGCGTCCTTTGTATTCTGCAGCCACTGTAGAGCCTTGTGGTCGGAGCGTACGACAAATGGCCTGCCCAGCAGGCAGGGGCGAAAGTGTTTAATGAATGTAATTATGGCTAGTAATTCACGCTGATATGTGCAATAATTGCGTTGTGGTTTTGACAAGGTTTTACTCGCAAAGCATAACGATTTTTTGGCCACTGTTATCCGCCTGTGAGAGTACTGCGCCAATAGCGAACGCGCTAGCGTCAGTATCCAGGATGAAAGGGGGTGCATCCGCGGAGACATCAGGAAGTCTAAGTATCGGGGCTGTTGTAAGGCGGGCTTTAGGGTCATCAAATGCAGTTTGACATTCTTCTGACCAAAGAAATCTCCGTCCTTTCTCCGTCAGTCTATGCAACGGTCTTGCAATGCCGGCAAAATTGGCGATGAAGCGTCGGTAATAGGAAGCCAACCCGATGAATCCTCGGACCTCCGTGGGGGTTTGTGGTGTAGGCCAGGATCGTATAGCGTCTATCTTCTCCGGGGCGACGCGTATGCCTGCTGCGGAGATCTTGTGGCCTAAATATGACACCTGGTGGCGGAGGAACTGGCACTTTTGTGGGTTCAGACGCAGTCCGGCTTCACGTAATGACT